GAAAGTCCTTGTGGAGTAAAAGATACTTCCCGGCTTAACAAATATATCACTTACTTTGTGTGAGCATTGCATAACAAGTAAGCAGTACTAGTTGAAATTCAACACGTCAAATTCTAGAGGCAAAAGTGTTCTAGAATTAGTTCATTCTGACGTATGGCAAGCACCAGTTACATCCCTAGGCGGAGAAAAATACTGTCTCATTTATTGATGACTACTCTAGGAGATGTTGGGTGTACCCTACTAAGAAGAAGTCATATGTGTTTTCAACTTTCAAAAACTTCAAAGCGCGGGTGGAACTTGATTCTGGAATAAGATCAAGTGCTTCATAACAGATAATGGAGAAGAATACACAAGTGAAGAATTTGATGACTTTTGCAAGAAAGAAGGCCTTAAAAGATAGTTCACAGTGGCGAATACTCCTCAACTAAATGGAGTGGTAGAGCGGATGAACAGAACCTTGTTAGAAAGAACAAGAGCAATATTGAGGGCTGGGCCTAGAAAAATTATTTTGGGTAAAAGCAGTCAATACTGCCTGTTATTTGTGAATTGAGCTCCATCAACTGCAATAGAGCTGAAGACACCAATGGAGATGTGGACTGGTAAACCAGCTGATTATTCAAACCGCCATGTATTTGGAAGTATTGTGTACGTGATGTACAACTCCCAAGAAATTTCAAAGTTGGATCCAAAATCCAGGAAATACAAATTCTTGGGGTATGCTGATGGAGTAAAGGGGTATCACTTGTGGGATCCCACTGGCCGCAAAGTGATCATCAACAGGGATGTTATCTTTTTAGAAGATACTACAAAGAAAAGAAGAAGATAGTAGCGCTAAAAAGTCAGAGACTACACAAATACATATGGAAAAGGAGTTTGAACAAAGAGATTCTTCTGAAATAGAACCAGCACATGATGAACAAGAACCAGAGAGTTCTGAAGCTCCAACAACTCGTCAATCAGACCGTGTGAAAAGACGTCCCAATTGGCACTTAGATTATGTTATAGAAGGAAATATTGCATACTGCCTTTTAATAGAGGACGGTGAGCCATCAACATACCAGGAGGCAATAAATAGCTCAGATGCTTCACTGTGGATGATGCCGATGCAAGAAGAAATTGAAGCCCTTCCTGAAAATAATACATGGAACCTTGTGCCACTACCACAAGGAAGGAAGCCAATTAGTAACAAATGAGTCTTCAAAATCAAGCGAAATAATAACGATCAAGTGGAGAGGTATCGTGCAAGACTGATGGTCAAAGGATATGCTCAAAAAGAAGGTATTGATTTCAATGAAATCTTTTCTCCTGTGGTTCGACTAACAACAGTTCGAGTAGTCTTGACAATGTTTGCTACATTGAACTTACATTTAGAGCAGATAGATATTAAAACAATTTTTCTTCATGGAAATATTGAAGAAGAGATTTATATGCTCCAGTCTGAAGGTTTTGAAGAAGAAGAAAAGAAGAACTTGGTTTACAGGTTGAACAAATCTCTGTACGGTCTAAAGCAAGTGTCCAGGTGTTGGTATAAGAGATTTGATTCCTTCATTATGTGCATTGGATATAACAAACTTAATGCAGACCCTTGTGCTTATTTCAAGAGGTTTGGTGATAACGATTTTGTTATATTACTGTTGTATGTGGATGACATGTTGGTTGCATGACCCAACAATGATCATATTGAAGAATTGAAGGCACAACTGGCCAACAGCTATATACGACTTCATACACATTTCAAGCTAAAAATACAAGCTAATGACACTTGAAGAAATAAGAGAACAATTATCCAAGCAATCAAACACAAGAGAAGAGTTTTTCATTCTTATTTCATCTTTCTCTTGTAAATATTTTGTTATTGTGAGCTTAATTCTTGTAAACACCTACCTTAGAGAGGTTTTCTTGTTTATTATATTTCTTATCCTGTTGTAAAGGGGAAATGTTCTAGCTAATCTCGTGTAAAAGCTAGGGAAAGGTTCTAGTTTAGCCCGTAAAAACTAGGGAGTTTGTAAGGTTACTCTTTATCCTCAAAAGAAAGAACAAATTAGTGAATTTGTTGGAAAATCCTTGGTGAGGAGCTAAGGTAGTGGACGTAGACTTTGGTTAAGAAAGTCGAACCACTATAAATCGTTGTGCAATTCTCTATCTTTTAATCTCCTTACTCCTTTCGACCCCTCTTTGCAAATCGTTCCGGTTGTCGATTCGAGCTTCCGAAAATCCTAACAGTATCGATACCGTCAACATATATGGTAGTGCTTTATCGGTTTTGTCAAATTGAAACTCGTTTGTCAAATTTCAATCTGTTATATTGTCATGTATTGATACATGTGTCTAAGATATCAATACTTTATAGACGCTATTATTGCAATTCTTTTAAATTCCTAAAGTACCGATACTTTGGTGCATATACTTATAAAAGTAACTCTTTACCAGTTTTGTCAAATTGAAACCGGTTTTGTCAAACTTCAACTTGTTATATTTTCATGTATTGATACATGTGTGTAAAATATCGATACTTTCGAGACGTTTTCCTTTTTACATTTCTTTTAAATTCCTACAATACCGATACTTTGATACATATAAACGTATCGATATAAATTTCAAGAATTCCAGTAGTTCTTTACTGGTTTTCTCAAATTGAAACCGATTTTGTCAAATTTCAACTGGTTTTGTCAATTTTTAATCGGTTTAGTCAAATTCTTTACTTGTCTTGTCAAATTAAAATTGAATTTGTCAAATTTCATTATGTTATATTGTCATGTATCAATATATGTGTGTAAGGTATCAATACTTTTTAGGTACTTTTATTGCAATTCTTTTAAATTACTAAAGTATCGATACTTTTATACATATTCTTATAAAAATATCGATACATGTCTACTTTTAATTGGTTTTCATCATTTTCTTTTTTATTACCATATATATCGATACTTCTGTGCACGATATCGATACCTACCGATAAGTAAAGTTTGTCGGTTGCCAAAAATTTTAATATTTCTTCATATTTTCCACTTACAATATTATTAACATTTTCGGTAGCGTTTGACCAATTTTGTTAAGTATCTTATTAAATTTTCAGCCACGTCATTTTTTAGCCATATATTAATTCGTTTTTCCTGAGATAAACTCCTGTTTCATGGCAGCCACTGTCTGCCGTTCAAAACCCAGGGTTACGGCGTTATCAGATATTAGCAACCGGTCAACGGGAGTTTAACGAAGAAGACCGCGAAACAATGAACGAGAAAACCGTCCTTTTGTCGTCTCACCTGCCACGCCTTTGATATTGATTTTCCAACAGGTTTATCGACTTTCAGACGTGTCGTTTTCACCGCTGTAAATAGCTGAACCTGATTATCCTTTCGCTTTCCCATTACTGCCCAAACCAAAAAAAAACCTTGCACTTATTTGCTAAAATGTATACAACTTGTTTGCGGGTAGGTGTAATGTGCACTGGACTAACTTTAACATTAATTTAAGGCGAGTTTTATTTTAAAGGCTTAAACTATAAAAAAAATCCCTAAACTACATTCCATTTATGCTTTAGATCTCTAAACTATTTTTTGTCAAAATAAGTCCTTAAACTATTATATATAACCACTTTAAGTACCTAAACTATTTTTTGATCAAAATAAATCCCTAAAATATCTCTTTTTCGCTTCAAGCCCTTATATTATTTTTTGGTCAAAATAAGTAGCTAATTTTATATGACGTGTCAACATCTTATTGGTCAAAAATATTTTTCTAAGTGAAAAAATGGGACTTAAAATTATTAAATATATAGTTTAAGTACTTAGTTTGATCAGAATATAGTTTAGGTGCTTAAAACAAAAGATACATAATTTAAGGTTAAGATCTTATTTTTACTTTAAGTCTAGTTTAAAATATATCTTCTTCCGTTTTAAAATTTTATATAATCAGTAATAATTTTAGTTATAACTGAATATTATATTGTGATAAGAATACTGCATAATTGACATGATTTATTATGGACAACGTAATATATTCAATTTAAATTTAAAATATTATCCAACTTACTTTAAAGAGTTATATTCTTAGTAACATTTTTTATTACAATAATTTTATTATTTATAAATTTATATCAATTTACTGTATTTTATACTCGTCATTATTTATAAGTTTAATCTGATATAACTTTTGAATATTTGAGATGAATACCAACCCGGTTGATGCATATAACAAATCAACATTGAACACATACATGAATGAAAATAGGTTGAGCCACCTATATTCTTCAAAGGGACGTTTAAGAAAGACAACCCCACCATGTAGACAACAAACCAAGGACGTGGTCCACTGATCCCCACCCCCGTAAATCACAATGAAAGCATGTGATTCACATATACATTAATGTATAATTGTCAACTAAATTCGTTGTACAATTTAAATATTTCAGTATAATCATATGTTAGTGAGAGTAATGAGAAAACACCTAGGATATCTCGGTGCATAGAGTAGCAAAAATCGCCAGGATCAATATAAAAACATAAGAAAAAAACAGCATCTCTAATTATTCAGACAATAAGATTAGAGATAAGACATGAAATGCAAGACAGGCTCAGTGTACTAAAAGGTTTAAACTTGATAGACGTGTCTTCAAGTTGCTTTTAACAGGAAATAATGACAATGTATCTTCAAAACTGTCACCTTTTTGTCTTCTCTTCCATTGCATGCACTTTGGGCAATCGATAAAAACGTTTTCGAAGTATTAATCATTACAAAAGAACTCGTTAACAGAGATCCTAGAAGGAGCCGGGTTGTTTCTATGGTGAAACGGCCGAGTCTCCTGATTCTCGACCCTCGAGGACTCCTTTTTAGTCTAACGTTTTTGTCATTTTTCATTTTTCCCTCTGCCTTTTTCCTCTCTCGTTTTAATTGCTGCTTCCCGTTCCTTGTTCTGGGAAAGGAGCTTGTTCCTTTTTTTTCATATATGAACTCCATCTTTTGAGTTCAAGGAAGAAGATCAGAGAAAAAGTGGAAGATAAATGGACGGTGAACGGAATGGTCTGAAGGGAGATGTTCCTTTTCACCGCAGAAGACGTACGGACGTTGATGGCTTGCCTTCTCCCAACAATCAAGGTTTTTTATCAGTCTCTTTAAATTTGAGTTTTATGTACTTATCTGTACAGTCCAACACTTGTTTATCAAGCATGGACAATTGTTCTTCATACAAGTTTCGATTTTGTTCACCATCGATAATCAGAACTGTATCCGTTGTAAAAAAAAAAAATTTAGTTTACGGTTTGATTTTGTTGTGAAATCAGGAGGAAGAAATGATCTCTATGATGAACTCTGGCATGCATGCGCCGGTCCTTGTGTTTATGTGCCACGCGTCGGAGAAAAGGTTCTATATTTCCCTCAAGGTCACATGGAACAGGTTCTATACTTCCATTTTTCTTTATCTGTTTAAGCAAATCCTTTTACAAGAAGACAATCATTTTGCTTGTGTATTCGTCTGTTTGATGATTGAGCTTTTGATATACAGGTGGATGCATGCATGAATCAAGATGGGACAATGGAAATGCCCATCTACAATTGCCTTCTAAGATCCTTTGCAGCGTGATTCATGTTCATCTGAAGGTATCCACTATTTATTGTTTCCTAGTGACTTCGATTGGATTAATGGACAGTGTTACACTTTCAGGAGATTACCATATAAAGCTCATTATAAGTTGTTTTTTATTCCTCGTTGCCGCGTTTCAGGTTGAACACTGCACAGATGAGGTCTTTGCACAAATAACTCTGCTTCCAGACGCGGAGGTTAGACATTGAGATGTTGAGATTATTTGTTTTCATTAATTGCTGTATGTATGTATGTATGTATCATTAATTTGCTTTTCTACCTTAAATAGCAAGATGTGCAAGCTTTGGAGCGTATGAATTATCGATCTTTACCCCGAAAAGCTTATCCGCAGTTCTTTAGTAAGAAACTCACTCCATCTGATACGAGCACACATGGCGGATTCTCTATCCCAAAGCGACTCGCTGATGAGGGGTGTCTTCCGCTCCTGGTTAGTATCTTTATGTGAGATTGGTGCAGTCATGTTCGAAATAGAATGCTTTTGAAAATTCGAATCACTTGTTGCAGGACATGTCCCAGCAAACCCCACAGCAGGAATTGGTTGCAAAGGACTTGCATGGTTCCAAGTGGCGCTTTCGACATATCTTCCGTGGTACCTTACTACATTTAAAGTTGGGATAATTTAAGCATTAACATGACCAGATGATTGCGCCAAGAAACTAATTATAGACGTTTCTGGAACATCCACATGCTCCACGTAAAATAAGTCAATTACCTTGGTAGAGTTCCATGGTTATTGAAATCCTAACTTAAGAGCCCTTAGTTTATTGCTAATGAAATTCAGATGCTGTAAGTTATAGGAAGTGTAGTTTGTCCTAATATCCTAATGTACTAATGTTCATGTAAAACAGGATTATTCTATACTAGTCTTTGTTTCCTTATGGACTTCGATCTCAATCGAATGCAGGTCAGCCAAAAAGGCACTTGCTTACCAGCGGTTGGAGTACGTTTCTGAGTTCGAAAAAGCTCATTGCCGGGGATACATGTATCTTTCTTAGGTTTTGTTTCTCTCTTCCAATTCCTGGAAAGAAAGAAAAAATGTCTACTTTTCTGCACAAGCTTCTCTTTTGTGTTCCACATAGGCATAGACATACATACATATGTTTCAACGTTTCATCTACATAGGCTTTTCGAAGTTATGTTGGAATTTTTTTCTTTTCTGGAATGTTGTTTCTGTAGTGTATGCTATGTACTAAATGATGAATAAACCGAATAATTAAAGGAAATTGAATGTTATCTAGAAGGGAAAATGGAGAACTTCGAGTAGGAATTCGCCGAGCAACGAAGGTGCCGAGCCGTACGTCAACATCCATCATATCTGGTCATAGCATGCAACTTGGCATATTGGCAAGTGCTTTCCATGCCTTTTCTACCAGAAGCATGTTTACTGTCTACCACCGTCCTTGGTAAGTTATAATAAATTCTATAGGAAACTTGTCACACTGGAGCTAAATGAGCAAGACATTCATTCTTGCATCTTTGCAGGTCAGGATCGTCTGAATTTATCATCTCAATTGATCAGTATATGAAGTCAGCTCGAATTGATTACTCCGTCACGACAAGATTTAGGATGCAATTTGATGGAGAAGAATGTGGGGAACAAAGGTGAGACCACCCTATCATTGGTGTGTATGAGTTTATTAATAATCTTTCGTGGAACTTCATGCATAGTACTACAAGTTCAATTTGTTTCTTTGTCGGTGTTTCCTAGTTCTCTTTAACCTACTGTACTCTTCTCAAAACCAGAGCTTCCGGCACCATTGTAAGTATTGAAGATACCGATCATATTAGGTGGCCTAATTCTGAATGGAGATGTCTGAAGGTAACATTTGTTCTTTTAAATCCATGATTGCAAGACCTTTGGATGATAATACAATTTTGGTTCCACAATTTCTTAGGCGCAATGGGATCCCAGAACAGGTGCAATTTTGCTTCCTGAAAGAGTTTGTCCTTGGAACGTAGAACCAATGGGATTCACTAAGAAGAAACTTTACATTCTGCATAACCGAAAGAAGGCTCGTACTGATGATTCACCGTCGTCTGAGTTTTCTAGCCTGCCAACCGATGGTCGGTAACTATACTCGGTGTCTGGATTCTGCTTATACTTTTAAGGAGGAATCTGGAATTTGTAGATTCTGATCATAATTTCTTCCTAACCAGGCATGTGGCACGATTCAATTAATCATGAATCTCAAAGTATCTCAGGGTTCTTGCAAGGTCAAGAAGATAGTGACACAGATGGTAATCAATCCGGTGCACTAAGACAACCAATACCACATGATCTCCCGCTAAATCACGGTTGGGCCTCAATGCAACAGCAGATGCAGAACCGACGAGAGATTCAGATTCCGGTCTGTGGCAAATCCATCTTTTCTGGTGACGTAGCAAGTTTTGGCTTACATAACAGTTGGCTCCCAACATTCACCAATGACAGAGTTCATGAAGATGTTCTTGCTAGCAAAAAAAATTCAGTTCCAAATGTCAATTCTCAAACTTCATCGTGTGAACCAAATGGTGATCATTCATACATGCTTTTTGGAGTAAATTTAATGGTCGGTCCACCACAGCCCCCTTCACCACAACATTTCACTTCAAGTGAGCTTGAAAGTCTTTGTTCTATTCCTCCAACATCTCAGTCAACAGTTTCAGAACCTTCTAAGGGCACATCTTGCTCTGTTAGTAATCGAAGTTGCACCAAGGTACCGGTACCTTCTAAGTTGAATTGCAAATCGATTGTCTAACGATGATATACGAAGTTGGCAATAGTAGACCGTTTACTCCATATTTTTCATTTTGGCAGGCTGAATTATTGTTAAATTGATTGTTCCTGCAAGTTGGTCCTGAGAACATTCCTTTCTCTTATAGGTACTCAAGTACGGGACTGCACTCGGAAGATCAGTTGATCTCACTCGATTCAATGGATATAAAGAGCTCGTAGGTGAGCTCGACCGCATGTTTGATTTTAAAGGACGACTGTTTGATGGAAGCAGTGGCTGGAATGTAACCTATACCGATAATGAAGGTGACATGATGATGATCGGAGATCACTACCCTTGGCAGTTAAGTACAAAACTAACCAAAGGACACATTTCATCATTCTATCCTCTTGTATGATATTTAACCAAATCTAATTACAATTACAGGAGATTTCAGTACGAGGTCCGAAGGATGCTCATCAGTCCAAAGGAAGAATCCGAATTCAACATCTCGCCAATGGCCTTATGCTGAAAGGCTTTTCCATTAGTCTCATCTGTAGTGGAAGAAATGTCAATAGGTGCGAACCGTATGAACTAAAACTTATTTGTTGTTTCTAAAGAGAAATCTATGAATGCTAGTACAAGGCAATGTCCTTCCTGTAATAGCGTGTGATATGTTTAATTCATATGCATATCTATGTTAAATCTGATGCTCTTTGGCACATTTATTCGCATGGTAAATTACAAGCACCGACAACAGATGACCTCTAGTATAGAGCGTTTTGAGACCGGATCATTTTTGGTCAGTTGTCAGGGCCCAGTAAAACAGTTGATCTATTAAAGGGTTTTGTTTTTTCATTGGCTCAATAGTCAATTATAGATTTTTGAGTCGCAGAGCCAAGGGACCACAGATCAAGGCCATCAGACACCAGCAACGATCATGTTTTTGAACTTGTTAAATTATCAATACTTTATTAATTTTTAACTCAAATAAAAATATACATCTATTATACGTTTGACCCAAACCTTAAAAATAGTATGTGTAAATTGTATATTTAATTATTCAACTATTTTCATGGTTCTTTTTTTACTTGTAATATTAATAAAATAAATATTAAATGTTAAATTAAAATATCGTAATTATTTTAAGAAATGAAATATTTTAATAACTATTATGTATGTACATTTTTCAATGACGTTTGCAATTATACATCAAAACATCATCGTCCCTAATAATATTAATAATCGAGTTGGTAAGTTCGTATATCAAATTACAAGATTAAATAAAGATAATAATTGTCATCTACACTTAATTTATTATTAAACAATATTTCATTTCGATTTTTTTTTTCATTTCTCCATTTGACTAAAACATTTTCAAGTTTCTTAGTCACATATTTTATTTAATCTTGTTTGATGTTATATTACAATCCGTCGTTGTCCTGAAATTTTTAAATTCTTACATGACCGATATTTTAGTTCACTATTACATAACCGAGTTTGGATTTTAGTTCACTCACTGATTTGATTTCCAACCATCTTGGTCGTTTCTAGGTAAATTATGGGTATATTATAAATTTAGTAACTAACATTTATTTTCTCCCCTATTTTACTTATTTAGAATTAGTCCGATTTGAAATATGACATTTAAATTTTACTAAACAGATACATTTACAAATGAATAATGATCCGTTCATGTTTTTATTTCTTAAAATATTTACTATATTTTAATTTAACATTAATATTTCTTTTATTAAAATTTCAAGTACAAACAACTTAATATGTTGTTTCTTATTTATTATTATAAAGTAAATGTATAAGTCGAGTAAAAAAAAATGTGATATAAATGAATTATTATATGTTACAAATTTTTTTAAAAATAAATTGAATCGAATTAGGTGACGAAAATGGAACAAAAACTTAAATTTAGTGATTATTTTGAAAGAAAAAATAATTGGGTGACAAAAATAGAACTGTACAAATAGTTGAGTGACTTAATATGTAATTTACACATGTTATTTTTTACAGAGTTAACAATTTGGGGCAAATGAAGAAACGATTTAAACTTCATGAGACAAAACGTCCCGAAAAATATTTTAGGGGATAATTCGATACAAATAACATACTTTAAGGAGCAATGGTGCATTTAAGCCTTTGTTTGTTCATTAACAAGGAAATAAGATTTTACAGGGGTAGTTATGTTTTATTGCAGCTTAATATAAGGTTAAGAAAAGAAACTATCGGAAATGTTAATATTTTTTTAACATTTTAGTTAGAGTGCTACTTAAAATGTTATTTTTTTTTCTACTGGAAATGTTAATTTCGCTACCTAAAATGAATATTTTTTATATTAACATTTTCGGTAGAAAAATAACATTTTAGATAGAGTTCTACCGTAAATTTTAAAAAATATTAACATTTCGATAGCGTATTTTCTTAGCCTTATATTAGGTTGTCTTTCTTTATACATCTCCATTTTACAAGTGTAAATATTTGAAAAGTTATACTAAAAATTTAAGGATTATCAAATCATAAATTTTAGGAATATAAAATTAAATTATCAATTAAAAAAAATATAAAATTTAATTTTTTAAGAAATGTAACTATTCTAACATCCTATCCAAGGGGCCGATGGATGCAGCTCCCAAAAGGAATAATTGCATACTCTGATACTCATCGTTTTGGAAAAAATATTCAATTTAATTTAATATATTATATGGAATGAAAAAATAAAATAAAAATTACACATTTTTTAATTTAAAGAATTTGATATTAAAATTTTGGACTGTTTTTTTCTTCTTCATGAATTCGCTACTGCTCCATCGATCCGTTTAGTTAGTACTATAATAAGTGTTGTGTTTGGAGTAATATTTTGTACTAGTCTTCCATTTGATGTCCCTAGTCTTATATATAGAGGTGTTCAAACAGTTAATTCGGCCACCGACCGAATCGAATTATCATAATCGAATTATCACTAATTGAAGTTTTTTAACCATTAATTGAATCGAACTTCTTTTAAAAATATTAATCGAATTGAATAAAGCTCGGTTAATATATGTAATTTTGAAAGTTGGTCCCTTAACCACTGTTACATCCATTGATGTAAAATCTAACTACTTTCTTAATTTGTAATTTTGAAAAGTCTATACATAAAACTAATAACAAAAACGACAACGTTGAGTGATATTCATACACGTATACAATATGTTAGGTATGGTAAAAGAATTTTATGAATTTTTATATGATAAGATAGAGTGCATTTCGACTAGTAAAATGATCATTTAATTAAATCTATTTTAAAAATTATAAAAAAACTACTTTAAAATGTCTATTTTAATACTGGACTAATTACTTTCATTTTTTTCTTTCCAATATCTAATTTTATTTTATCTAAAATACAAAATAATATCAATATTTTGCACATGAAATCCATGACTTGTCTAAAAGACTCGCATGCCAAAATTTAATTCATTATTTTATTCTTCTAATATGTCAACTTCAAGTACTTTATCCTAATCTTCAATTACATGTACCAATGGGGCCTACGTGTTAAAGGAGCACGGGAAGTTATTGGTGTAGCAGATATCAATAATACATGTTTCGATGAACGCACTGTTGTACTAAAAGCTTTTAATTAATACCCATTTTATCTTATGGAGTATTGAAATCCCAATTAAAATTAAATTACATAAATGGTAGGTGTATTTTCTGAAAAATCATCGGTAATTGGTATATTTATCGATCTAACATCGGTCAGATTATATTTCTTGATCTAACACCCGTAACAGTAAAGTGCGCCCCCTGAACCGCGTTATACGCTGATTTGGCGTCACGTTGGGTATAGTGCGCCCCCTGTACCGCGCTATTCGCTGACATGGGTTACACGTGTGTATAGCGTGCCCCCTGATTCGCGCTATACGCCACGTAGGGATATAGCGAGGATCAGGGGCCGCGCTATACGTCACGTAGGGGTGAATTATATTTAACGTGGTCTCTGGTCCGCGCTATATCTTTTATCTAATAATTACATATAGCGCGCTGCAGGTACCACGCCTTATATGGTTATAAATACACTCCTCCGTCGGTTAAATTTCTCACATCTCCTCTCAACTTATAAATTAATACAACAATTCCGTCAACGAGAAATAATTCTGGCAATCTTCTCATATTTGATTTAGAAGTTCGTGCGATTTTTCGTTATAAGGTAATTTTATTATAATATTTTTAATTATAATTATTGTTTATTATCATTATTTGAAAAAATATTATACTAATTATTTTCAATTAATTTTTATGTTTGTAAAATTGAAAAGCGGGAGCATACGTCGAAATAGTTTTGTGGTGTTGGTAATAATATAAAATTATATTATTTAAATTATTTACGTTGACGTGTAAAAAATTTATTGTGTTATATTTTCGTTCATATATAATTTATTTAATCAGGTTTGTTTCAGTTATTTTTTTTTTGGAGATATAATATTGCCGCACTTTTAAACTCTAAGAATGGCGCGACTTTCAGCAATTGTTTATTATGATGGTGAAATTCGAGAAGATGAAACCGGCGTTGTTTTCGTATCAAATGAGCGTGTTAAAATATCATTCAAGAGAAATATAACTCTTGAGGAGCTGATAACGAAGATTTCGAGGAAGATTCATGTTGGAAGTAGTAGAAGAATTTCGTCGTTGCAGTACAGATTTTCAACATCATTGTTGCCATTAACTTATACAGCGTTCGAACTTTCGAACAATGATGATGTTCAAATGATGGTTGAAGCTCAAAGTAATTATTCAGACGCCGCTATTGAGATGTATGCACATTTTTTTCAAGTGTGTACTGTTCGGGGTCAATCATTAAGCTCCCACTATGTGCTGGCTGAACAAGTTGATCAAGTTGACAGCCTGACTACAGTAATGTGTAATGATTTTAATGCCATAATGGGGAGACATTCATCCGCAACTCCTTACGATATGTACCGAGGTGGGTCCACGAACAATCTGTATGGCAACACCACGTCCAGTTCAAGGGGAAGACATTCATCTGTAAATTTCTTTGACCTTAATATGGAGATGTCATCGACGCAACAATCTGTGCAGTTTCCATTTGACACGATGGCTTCAAGCTCCGGGGAAAGGCATTCGACTGCGAACTTTTTCGATCTCAATGTCGATATGCCTTCTAGTTCAAGGGGAAGACATGCAAGTAATAGGTTCTTCGACCTAAATGTGGAGCGCATGGAGGAACCATCATCTCTACCAGAAGAACCGCTTCGTGAGCATGGTGCTGAGACCAGACTATTCATTCACCCATAATCACCGCAATTCAACTCCGATGATGATGATGTAGATGAAGTTTCAGGAAATGTGACACAAACTGACCCTCCTACACACATGTATGAAGCTGATTATGGTGCAATGTACGGGCCAGAATTTGCGGATATGCTCATCTCGGTGACTATGGATATTACTCATCAATAAATAATGGTGAGTTATCTTTAGGCATGGAGTTTTCAAGCAAAGAAGAAGCGATGAAGGCTATCAAAAATTACAATATCCGTAATTCTGTTCAGTCCAGAGTCAACCGATCGACGACCGAAAAATATGTATGCCACTGTGCCCGACGCGAAAACGGATGC